GATGGATGGATGAGATAGATAAAAGATAATACACAGAAAGTAGGACAGAAAGAAAAAAGTAAATGCTTAGTGTCAAAGCTCATCTACAAGGAGCTTACTTCCAATTGAGTAGGTTGCATGTCACTGTCTTGAGACACTATCCAGATGTGAACTGAAACCATTCTGGTAAGGACTCAACTCAGATGTTCCAGATCCATCATGTTGTGTTTATCTCCACGCACAGAGATTCTGGAAATGCAGTCTTCCCAAGATAAATCGCTAGTGGAATATAAGGGTGGTTTTTACCTTGGTCTTTACACTTTGGCTGCAATTATCTGATTTCATTTCAAATAGATTCTTATTTCAAAAATATTCATGAAGCACTGGTTTTGGTGGCTTTAACATCCAAATTCCTGGAAAATCTTAAACAATTGCTGACAGGAGCATCTCGAGTTAAAGGTGGTTAAGAAATCACCGTTTTTTAAGGAAAGTTTTTTAAGAAAAACTAGACTGGATCATTTTTATCCCTTGAGATAAGATTGAACAGGAAAAGAGGCACAGCATAATCCTTTTTGTATGTGTGTGTGAGTGTGTGTGTACGTGTGAATGTATGTACTCAGTCAGAAATGTGTAATCTTTGATTAATTTTTAATTAGAAAAGACAGTATGATTGATATTTAGTTCTTTTGAACACACTACTTCAATTTATAGGAATAACCAAACTTTACATAATGAGTGGTTCATTATAGTTAAATTAATCACCTTCTAGAATTTCTAATGAGGAGGTTTATTATTATTATTATTATTATTATTATTATTATTATTATTATAGAATCACAAGGTTGTCATTTAATCTCTGTACAGTGCCCTTACTGTTGGGCACAGTTACATATAAGACAACAGTGAGAATACTTGAGGTCTTGGGTAATAGTCCCCTTAGGATATATTCTTTTATTATTCTGTCCTGAACCATTTCAGAGACCTCTGGGACAAACCATAAGCCACTTAGAGATGTTTTTGTGAGCCAGAGATCAGGCTGATATTGGTGAAGCCCAAGGAACTGCACATAAGATAATCTAAATTTTTACTGCCCGACTCAACTGTAGACATGTTCTCTTTCCAGACTTACCATTAATTGAATCTAATTAAGACTCTAGGGACCTATTCTAGAAGGATTGACATAGGAAGCTTATGTAGATTCTGTCCTTTTCTGCTATTCCATTGTTGTTTTATGGAGAAAAATGAATTAGTTTACCTGATCATAAATATTGGGAAATGTTGGGTGTCTGTTCTGTTCCTTGGTTTCTGTTGTCCCCTCTGGATCTTAGGAGAGTGTGGTAAATGAGGCTTGTCTGGTAGAGAGTGCTTCTCAGTCCCTGCCAGGTGTGGCTGCGTTAGAGGTGGGGATGCCAGGTAGAATGCATTTCTAGATGATAGTAGCTGACATAAAGAAATGTGGATGTTCTGTAAGGGGGCAGGTGCTGAGAGAATCCACAGAAAGGAGGAAAGAAGGGTCTGCCCAGAATATCTGTGCAGTTTCCAGGGAGTGAAGGCTTCTGCAGGTAGTCTGTTCCAGTGCTGGAGAAGAGGCTACAGTATTTGCAATAAAATATGGGAAGAAGAGTGGAGTTGGTTTACCTGATTCTGAGGTGAGCATGACCATCAAGTGCCCAGGCAGAAAGTGGGTCTTTGAACGTGTGCAAACTAGCCAAGTTCATGGCAAGGCAAAGAGGGTAATTGGCGAATGGTCTGTCTGGAACCACTCTCTGAACTCTTATCCACCCTATTAATTAGTATGTTCTTTCTTTGTTCCTGGATTGAATATTTGCTTTATTTCCTGTTTAATGAAATCAACCCTTTAATGCAAATAAATTAAGCATTTGCTTGGTAATAAACCAAATAAGGAACAGTAGCTATAGATGGCTTAAGAGTCTTTTGCCATTCTGAGAGAGGGTATTGATCCTGATAGAGGCTTGAAAAAATATGAGGGAAGGAGAATGGAGAGAGGAACATGATGAAGAGAGGGAGAAGACATTTAGGAGGGTGGGCTTATTACAAGCATCTATCCACTCAAACTGCCCATGGCAGTGAAATTATAAACAAGCACAGTCAGTTCTATCTTGATGGTTGCAAAGTCAAAATGTGCATAGCTAAGAGATGAACAAGTGGAAACAGTTATTTCCTGTAGCCAGTAAGGAAGGCATGGGAATTAGTTATGGAACCGTGTTCTTTTTGAGCAAAAGAAGTCTGTGGGTTTCATTTGGGTATACTCTAGATTATGTATATTCCTACAGGAAAGCAATTTAGGTGTGGCACATTCCTGAGCATGCTCAAAGGGTTGCATTCTTCAGCAAGGGCTTAATCAATGCAATGTATGATCACAGTTTAAGAATGAAAGGTAGCAGGCATGTGTATAGGCACACTTACCGCAGGCTGTATTTTCAAAAGATTCAAATGGACCGCAGGATTTTACAGACATGTTCAATTTGAGCCACAAACACAGCAGATAGAGAAAACTTCTGAATGGCTTCTCAAATATTATTGGCTGAAACAGACAAAAGGAAAACTTGGAGGTGTGCTTATGTAGAAGTTTGCCTTGCTTAGCAGCTAACAAAATGATCATTAGAAAGGAAAATAAATTTTTAAACCAATTATTACTTCGATGATCTAGGTAAAGAAAAGAAGACTCTTAGTTAAGTATTATACCAAGTTTTAAATGGTTATCTATTTATTATTATTGGTAAGAGAATTGCAAATATCATCTTCATTACGGATCTACTTTTAAAAGAGATGTATTCAGGTATGAGCGGGGCCTCCAAAACTTTTGGCTCCAAGGTTCATGGCTGCAAAGGGAAGGCAAGTCTTTTCTTTGGTAAGTGGCTACCAGTATGTTACTCCGCCCTCATTGCATAACTCCACACCCCTGCATATATGCACATCACTAATTGGATTGAGAGGGTTCTTTTAAAAAGAAATGAAGTTGAGAAGGAGATGTGATAGAGTATCTCCAAAAAGGCATGATAGAGGTAGTCTGGGGTAGATGCGATGAAAATGAATTGTATATATCTATGAAATTTTCAAATATTAAATAAAATGCTATATTTTAACTATAAGTGATAACTGGGAAGGTATAGATGATTTGAAAATGTCTTTATGTTATATAACCTCCTTCATTCACTGAACGGGCTACAAAAAATAAATCTCAGTGGAAGACTGAACTGAGTCACAAAGGAAGAAATAATTTTCTGTCTGAGGAGCTGCTGATGCCAGCCAGCTAACTTGCCGGAAATCAATCAACTAGACACCGCTGAGAATTGAAGATTTTTTCTTTACTTTCAGTGCAGGAGATTAGTTTAAGCAGTTGAGAGGAGAGCCAATAGTCGTCATTTAAAAATGACCAGTATTGTTAGGTATTTCTGCTTTAAGACTAAGTAAATGGGCAGGGGAAAGATCTAGATGAAACTTATATCCTGAGATTCACGAAAAAACAAAACAAAAACCACGTGCAGAATCTGGGAAAGAGAATTTAGGGTTGCACTGCAAAACATCTAGTTGAATCTATGCATGACTACTTTCAATTGTTCTTGAACAAATGATTTCAGGTATAGGTGTTTGAAGAACATTATGGAGACCATGAGAAGAGTTCAAAGGTATTCTACTTACAACTGTTTCGAGTGTTTTTGAAATGCTGGAAACAATATATCATGAAACAATTTTGTTCAGGCATTCATTAAAAGAAGGAAGGCAAATGGACAATAAAGACATGGGGGAAAATGTATTGTGTCCTTGACCACCTCAAAAATTCAAAGCAGAACTTCACGGAGACAAGTCAGGCTGTCTATCATCAAGAAAACAAAAACAGAGCATGGTAGCAAAGTTGTGGGAAAGGAATCCTATCACGGTTTGATGTGACTGAAACTTAGCTCTGAAACTGTAGAAGTGAGATGTAGGGTCCTCACAAAAGGAACAATGGAAACACCTTGGATCCAGCTGAACACCACTTGGGTATCTAAAGGGACCAAGGAAGTGCAATTAAAGATACCAGCTTCATGAACTGATCCATGGCATCATTTGGCGGAATAGGTTAATTGTTGTTGGCTGCATTCTTTGAAATGAAGCAGATTAGCATCCTCTACTGCAGTGAATCACTCTGCCTTGTTTCTCTCCCCCTTCCATCATGGAGTGATGCAGAATGCAGTTCCTCACTCGGTGGAGCACCATGTGCTCCAGAATCGAAGACATTTCCATTCCTTATAAATCACCCAGTCTAGGATATTCTGTTGTATCAAGAAATAGACTAAGACAGTGCTGAGTGAATGCTCAGAGAATAAGAAACCTTAATTGATAAATAGGTGGGATCTTATTTTACTAGTTTCTTATCACAGATTGATCTTCATATTACCTATAGGTTTTGTGTAGCAATATGACTAAGAGATTTTACCAAATTACATTCATATAAAATGCAAGTATATAATCAGTAATTGTTATATGTTTGAATTTTGGGAGGAAAATAAACATCATTTGTAAAATACATACTATGGAAAAAAACACAAAAGACTTTTCCATACAAGTCAGATTTTACAACACTAAACAGTTGAATGAATGGGGTAAAGCTTCTTTGTATATTTTCAGCAGCATATAAAGTCATTCATTTTAGGTAAGTTTCTATGCCTTTTCTCTGTATTGGATAATATGCAGTAGTTTGTATCCTCCTGAGATCTCAACGTGTTTTAGACTCTATTGTTGGACATGCCTGGCTTTTGCCCTGGCACTTGCCCTTGATCAACCAGTGGACTGGGAAACAAAAGAAATCCTAGTTCCAGAGATAAAAAAGATTTTGAAACAGTGTCCTATTGAGAAAGCACATTAGCATCCTTCTATTCATTCCAAAACAAATGCTTTCTATTCCCTTCCTAACCAAGGAAACAAAGCACAATAAAGCATTGTTCTCAGTTGTTGGTTTGTTGTTTTCATGGACAGAGAAAAGCTCTGCTAGGCTAGTCTAGCAAAAGAGTAAACATCAAAATTTATCACGAGCTTCCACAGGCTCAGAGAGAACAGAGTATAAAAGGGGATCACAACAGGGAAATGCAGAAACACCCTGGTGGTGGAAGGTAAGTAATCAGGCTAAATGCATTTGCTTTACCGGCATGTGCTGCAGATGGTGTTATCAGCCTTACTCATTGCGGCTTCTCAGTTACTTTACACTGTTTATTGTTATTGTTCTATTATCCTACCCTATTCTATGGTAAGCATCCTGAATTATACTGAGCTTAATTTTCACCAGAAAAATACACATAAAAATAATTAAATCCTGCCTGAAAATCTCTCTCTATCGCCTCTCACCCATTCTCTCTCCTCTCTCTTTCTCTCCCTTTTCTCATTCCTCTCTCCTTCTCTCATTCTTCTCTTTTCTCTCTTCTCTTTCCTCTATCCTCTTCCTCTTTTCTTTCTCACTTTCTTCTTGCCTCTCTCTCAATCCTCTCTCTTCTGTCTCCCATATATATATGGGAATATATATATATATATATATATATATATATATATATATATATATTTCTCTATCCCATTTCTCTATCCTCTCGATCTCTCCTATTTCTGTTTTTATCTTCTCTCTTTCACCTCTCTCTTCTATCTCCTCTTCTCTACCTCATCTCAATATCAGTGATGACAGAGACAATGAGTTTCTTCAAAAGAAAACATGAGGTTCGCATGATATAAATCTAAGGAGTTCCACGTTTTGACAAGAGCGTCCTATTTTAGCCCTTAATAAGTTACAGTTGAACTAACTCCTTCCAACTGATACTTTATTGAATACAGGAGGAAAGGATATTATTGTATCATTAAAGAGCAATAGCCTAAGCAACACTCGGAAAATAAGTTATTGGGACTTAAACAACAAGAAACTGACTGAGAAACCATGTACTCCAAAGTGATTGCTGTAGTGTATGCTTATAATTATAGCACTCATGAGGCTGAGGCAGGAGGTTTGGAGACTAGTTTGAGATTTTCTTGCACTACATAGAGGAAAAGGAAAGATTCTGTATCAAGAAATGAAAATAATTCATTAATTCTAGTATTAGTGTTCTTATAATTTACCTTGTTTTTTTTTCTCCTTTGCCATGGGAATAGACACTATTTCAACTATTCTCTGAAGAATTATAGGAGTTGCCAAAAATCATAGAGGTTTGTATACCATCCTAAGTATGCAGGTATGTGACAGACTGGAAAAAAAAAAACAGCAACAGAACAGGAATTAGTATTCAATCCAAACCAAGGCTAGGTAACCTTCTTATGCTGGCGCTATCCTGAAAAGGAAATATTTGAAGATTTTCTGCGAGTCTTGATGTATATCTGAACTTCCTAACATACCCCTTATACATGCTAACCATCTGGGGAAGTTTATGCTCTTTCCTCTTCTTCTATGATTACCTAAAGGAACAATGGCAAAGCAAAACTTTCTGAATGAAAGATGTGCTTGTTCTCTTCAACGGTTGAAGGCCTCAGAAATATCTAGCACATCCCATCTGACCCAGAGGCAAGGTGACAAAGAATTCAGAGACTCAGAACGAATGAGCAACTATATTAAAGAAATGAAAGGTACATTGTGTCACCGTAGTTAATCAAGAAGGAATGCTTGAAGCTTCTATCTGCAGAGCGTCTTCCAGCTCTTGCACAGACGCTGGCATAGGGGATGCTTACTCAGCCTTGATGTTATTTCAAGTTTGCAAATGCTTCTGCAAGTAGATAAGGGACATTTTTAATTAGGAAATTAAGTAGTCACAATAGAGGTAAGAAATTATAGTGTCCACTGAGCTGTCACATCCGTGACTTTAATTTTCTTCATGTATTTTCTTTCATAGATTATTATAGAAGTTAATTTCAACAGATGCCTTTAGCATGTCAAGCGTTTCAAAATGTAGAATTATCAGCCTTCAGGTAAATGAGATTTCATTGTATTATGTTAAATATCAAACTTTTTTTGGTTACTGAATAGAAATAAAATCACCACCACTTACAAATTTAAAGTTCTACTTTTCTGTCAGAATTTATCACGTTATACCCTGATGGAGTGTTGCATGGCTCTGGTTTAATTTTGAGGGACTCATAAAAAAAATCACATGCTCCTTTAAAAATTAGAGATAAAAAGTAATACTCATGTCCAGTTGGAAGATTAACTGTTGCTTAGATACTAACTACCAATCATATCTTCATATTGCTGGTTATATTTTTATTATTCTCAGAGGATTAAGTTATGTTTTCATATGAATTATAAAGGCAACCAAAGTTTGATATATCTCTAATCCACATTATTAAGCTTTAATTAATGAAAAACAATTCTCATTTATAAAGATATCCCCCCAACTTATTTGCTTCAGAAACTATTAATAGGAGGTGCACAGACCTGAACAATCAATAATCGAGTGTTTGTCTCACAACCATGAGGACGTGAGTTCAGATTCCCAATAATATCAAAATGTTAAGCCCACCACTGAGAGCCTGTAATTCCAGTTCTGGGTACAGGACACAAGAGACGCCCAGGTTTTCTCTGGCCAGCCAGTCTAGACTAATCAGTGAGCTCCAGGTACAGTGAGACTCTGTCTCCGAAGCTAAGGTGGAGAATGATCAAGGAAAAAACTTGGAGTCAACCTCTGACCTCCACATATATCACATACGTGTGCTCACACATAAGCACACACACAGAAACACACACACACACACACACACACAGAGAAACACATAGACAGATACAAACAAATGTTGGAGGAGAGCCATTTAGTCACTCTGACCGCCCAGAACTGAAATAATCATAGAGAAACTTTATTAATTAAGTCACTACTGGCCCATTAGCTCTAACTTATTATTGGCTAACTCTTATATCTTAATTTAACCCATTTATAGTAATCTGTGTATTGCCATGTGGCTATGGCTCATCCGGTAAAGTTCCAGCATCTGTGTCCAGTGGCAGCTCCATGGCTTCTCTCTAACTTCTCCTTCTTTCTCCCAGCATTCAGTTTGATTCCCCGGCCTAGCTCTGTTCCCCTATAGCTCTGCTACAGGCCCAAAGCAGTTCCTTTATTAACCAATGATATTCACAACATACAGAGGGGAATCCCACATCACCTCGCCTTTCTGTTTAAATGAAAAGAAAGGCTTTATCTTTAACATAGTAAAATTACATATAACAAAACAGGTATCAAATAAGAATTACAGGTACAATGTTTATATCTACTTTATCTTTTATCACAACTAAGAAAAACTATAACTATTAATTCTTCAACTCCATCAAAGACTCCAGAAGGATATGATAATACCTAAGTAAACTGGAAGTATATTGTAAGCAACTTCCAAAACTCTAGAATTGACAGACATTCTGTTGCCTGGACAGTCACCCAAAGTTCTTTTGTACCTTGGAGCATCCATCTTCAGCCTACAGGCCCATAGTATCCAGCAGACTTTTTCAGAAAGCAGGAAATTTCAAAGACAGTTCTGCCTATACTGGCAGTTTGCCAGTCACTTTTTTTAAAAAAAAAATATCATTTAGAATGTCTGACAGAATTTTTGATGAAGCAGCAACCCTGAAGAACAGTCTCACCTTTAGATAAGTTTAGCAATCATTTCTCTGTGGGTCCTACATTTTCAGTTCATATATCAGTCCAGGCAAGAGCGGTTTCCTGTCCACATGGCCAACCAACTCCATAAGGAGCCTCTTCGATGCCCATCTTCCTATTGAAGTAATTGTTGCTGCCAGGAGCAGATGTGCCTCATTGTCATGAAAAGTCCTAAGTTCTTAAACATTTTAAATGCCATATTTTGTAGTCTTTGCAAGGTTTGTATAGTTTGTGGGGATGATGGTGGGATCCGATCCAACAACTCAAAGGGAGTATTTCCCTTGGCACTAGGTGTGTTGTTTGATAACTTATAGCTTCTTAGAAGAATTGGCAATGCCCTGTATATGGTGAACCCATTTAATCTCTTTTAAATATATATTTTAGGAATCCTAAAAACTGTAATTGTCTATGCTTTTTCTCCAGTATTCTTAGAATTATCTCCCCCACACATCATTCTTTGCCTTCCCCGAACATCCTCTCCCAGCTCAGAGCTTCCATCTTCTCCTCGTTTTCCTATTTTTACCACTTGTGTTCTGTTATCTCCCCCTTTTTATGTTCTTTATTTCCTTCCTCACTCCCAGTGGTCTTTGTCTAGTTTCTGAGATTCCATGACTCCTCTCCTCCCTAAGTAGTTTATGGCTGTTGTAGGAGGAGTCATTTTTGTCAATGATATGTTCCCTAGTGGGTTGTCCATGTTCCTGTAGATGACCGTGCAGTTAGAATCAGCAGTAACTGAACTAGATGATGCATACGAGGTGTCGGCAGGAGTTGCAAGAAGCTAGCGACAGATGAATATTAGCAAAATATGTTGTATGCTTGTATGATAATCTCAAAAATAAATTAAATTATTAAAAATAAAGCAAAGTGGTTACTCTAGGTCATTCCTTACTTTGAAAGAGTTGGAGCTGGGAACCACAGACGAGAGAGAGCCATGCCTGTCTGCATTTTAAATACCCACCCTCAAACCCCAAAATAAGCTTAGCTCTCACCCTTCATTAAAGAAACTTCTCTCTGCAGAAGACAGAGACGAAATACACAAAACCACAACTGGTAAATACAGGAAACAAGTGATTGCAGGGTACCGAACCCCAACTGATACATCAATACAACCTGCACCTAAGGGTCAGGGAGCATCTCAGAAAGGGAGTAAGAAAGATTTTAAAAGTCAGGGAAGCAAGAAAAATCCTGTATTATTGTGTCTCCTAGAAATGACAGGAGACTGTCACTTATGATACTTCAACAATACATACATCTGCTTAACCAAGATTTGAAGACATACACCACCAGTTGATCTGCTAATATAGAAAGGAGAAATCTCATGAGTACGCACCCATAGACAAAGAACCACAGACAAATAAGATATTTTTTAGTATAAGAAATAATCTCCCCCTTGAATAGCCATCTAATTGCCTATACCATAACATGTATTCAGCTCTAAAATCATATTCATAAAAATAAGACTGAAAAGACTGAACAGGTTGTATTATTAATAAACTTAGGTGTGTGTGTGTGTGTGTGTGTGTGTTACTAAGGAAAAAGAGTCTATGCTTTCAAGTAAGGTGGGATTCGTGAGATTCACCAGAGGGACAAGAAAAAGGAGTAAGTGATATATTATATTTTCATTAAAAATTTAAAATTAACAACAAAAAACAAATTAAACCAATAGAGAAGTATGAGAAAAAAGAAGGCTTGGTTTTCTATTTAAGAGAACAACAAATTCTTTTTCAGTAGGCAAGTTCATTAAAAAGAAACCATATGCTTATCAGTTGGCTGGATTTTAAATTATTAGTGTAAATTGACATGAGTCCAGATGAAATAACATATTTGCATAAAACTCTTAGTGGGGATATAAATAGGGAAATCATTACGACTTTCAGTTTGCCTATGGGATGTCACTTTTCACATGAAGAAGACATAGAGAAGTTACCATGTTAGAATATGATCTATGCTGTGATGGCACCAAGACTTGAAATAACAACTCAGAGGTAATAAGTAGTCTAGTACCAAGACCTAGATTTTAATTACTATTCTCCCACAACTGGAGCCAGATCATGGTTGGAGGAGTGGTGTTCAGGACTAGGTCAGAGAAAATAAAACTTGAATATAGAATACTTAATGGTTACTTCAGGACTCCATAAAATAAATAATTACTAAGTCAATGAGATTGCTCAGCAGATAAAGGCGCTTGCCATCAAGCTTAGTGGTTGACCACTGTGACTCATATCATAGACGGAGAGGCTCCAATCAAGTGTCCTCTGAGCTCCTCCTGAGTGCTATGGCACACAGGTGACCGTGTTCTCTACACACAAAGTCACATGTACATAAATATTTGTGAAAAGTGTCAGTTCTTTTTAAAAGAAGAATACCAATTCAAAGTGGTAAAATCATAGAATAAACAAATACAACATTGGCAGATACCAGAGCAACGAACACAAATCACTTGCATACAAATGCTATAAAATCCATATAATCTTAATTATAAAAGAAATAGATAAATAATGTTTAGTATTAATTAGACATTTCTATTTTGAAATATTTTATAAATATATAATATGTTCATGGGATCTACAGTTAGTGTGAGGATGTCTGAAGCTACATAAGCTATTTAAAGCATCCGTCTCAAGACAAAATGTTCAGCAAAGAGAATAGAGCATATTTGCTCTAAAAAAACCTGGAGATGTTGACTTGATTTAGAACCCATTCAAACAGCATTGAAATAATGTGGCTACCACATAACCTTGATACATGGTCCCTTAATGTGATTCATAAAAAATTGCACAATGTCCCTTTCGCAGAAATACTGCCCAGCATGCCTATTTTCACTCTAAATGTGAGAAAGTATTAGGTACAGCCAAACTGAGAACAATTTAGTATTCAACTACCACTCATCCGACCTGTGGAGGTCATGAGAAGAAAAACATCCTAGAGAGTTGTCCCATGTTAAAAGGGGATTGGGAAGATGCAAAAACTAAAATGTCTGTTCAGGCTGCCTTAGTTGGGGTTACTATTGCTGTAACACCATGGCTGAAGAAATCTGGGGAAGAAAAAGCTTATTTGGCTTACATTTCCGTGTCACTGGTCATCATAGAAGGAATTCAAGACAGGAACTCAAACAGAGCAGGACGCTGGAGGCAGGAGCTGATGCAGAGGGTGTGGAGGAAGGCTTCTTACTTGCTTGCTCCTCAAGTCTTACCAAGTCTTACTCAACCTGTTTTCTTATAGAACCAAGGCCACCAGCCCTGGGATGACATTGCCCACAATGGGCTGGGCCTCTACTATAGATTATTAATTAAGAAAATGCTCCACATGCCCAGTTGCTTACAACCT